AAATGTGTTAACAGTAATAAGCAAATGTACATATTTTCTTGTGGAGTTTTCCCTTGCCATTGCCATGTATCTATTGTCTAATAGTTGTATGGCTATTTTCAGCTTCATTATATCATGAAAAGTGCTAAACAAGGGAATCTGAATTGAATTTGAAATAATTTAAACATTTAAAGCATCACATCTAAAAATTGTTATATATTGTATTATAGGAATATTATATAAAAATATTAAATAGTATAATATTAATATTTAAATAATTTTGGCCTCACTACAACACCAAAAGCTAATTCAGTTGTCATAATAATTAAACTCCACTGTATTTTTTTTTTACTATTTAAATGCTGCATTGATGAAGATATTGCCTTTGTTTGTTATTACATTAAATTTCCATATCTGGGGTGTCCTTGACATTAAAAAACCCCCAAGTCCCTGAGACTATAATGCAAAGGAAATGTACTGACACATTCAAATCAGAGTTTTCTGTTTACTTTTTGAAAAATGGAAGGAGAGAAGGATAAAGTAAGGAAGGATCAAGCTGAATACTTCTCTTCCAGCTCCTCCTTCAAACCCCTGAGCTTTAACCTGTGTCTTTCCTGTGGCTCCAAACTGTCTCAACTCACTTGACAAGAATGAGATGTGGCTGTTCATAGCTGTGTTTGTGTGTTAATGTGTACGTACAAGTGTGTCTTTGTGTCTCTCTGATTCTGAAGACGTCTCTCTCGCATGGTTGAGCCTTAGTGGGTGTGCACTGACATTTGCGTCCTCCTGCCATCTATTGACCCCTCTCCGCCTCTCTCTCATCTCCATCGTGACTTCAAGGCCCTCCTGTTCCTCTGAGGCTAAAGTGAGGGTCTATGATCTCTGACTAACTACTCATTACAGCTTTCTTTGGGCTTTTTTCTAGCTTTAAATTTGCCTCCTGGGTGACATGATGATCTAATGCAAAACTTTATGACTCTTACAATAGAAATAGCTGACCACATTTCTTGTAAAAGCTGCAAAACCAGGTAGGGGGTCGCCTAAATTAGTGGTAGTTGTTTACAGTAAAAAGATAAAGGGGAAAAATGACAAAGATAGAGAGAGGATGACAAAAGGGCAACCAGTACAGGACCAAATACCGGAAATTAACAGTGCGAAACAGGCATACATTTCTAATGCTTTTCCAACGTTTTTACCATGTCAATAAAATTGTCTAAAAGAAAGAGAAAAAATGTTTTACTCTGAAAAAATGTTTCAAATGTAAAAAATGTTTTAAATGTAACCAAAGTAAGAAATACTGTAAAAAAATATATTTTCATGATTTGTAATCACAACATTTTTTCTTTTGTCAAATAAACTTAAATAATTTACGTAGTTCAGATAACATAATATTTTGAGTTTCCGGTGATTAAATCAATCTCCTTCATTGTATTAACTAAATTTTTCCATTTCAATGAACTTAAAATTTTAAGGCAACCTGGTAACTTAATTTTTTAATTTAAACCAACAATATTTTTTTACAGTGATATGAACAGTTGCCTAAATTTCTGCTGCAAGTATACTAGAAATAGTGAGCAAATTATTTCACATTAACCTGCAGATTAAGTAGGCTAAATGACATGAGGGGCTATTGGGATGGCACAATGTGAATTTGACTAATTGGTTATCTGCGGGTTACACATTATAAGAGTAATTCAGTTCTACATATAGCATTAAGCGAGGCAAAGCTGTTCCTCAAGCAATATAATTAGATATGGCATTTTATGAATAATTGCTGATAATCTCACTCAACACAGATCCAAAGATACAGAACGCTGTTCAAGATAAAACACAGTGCTAAGGAAATACGACAGGGCTGCATGTACAAGCGCTCATTGGAATGACTGGGCTGCAACCAGTTATATTACTACACTAAATTATGTAGAAATGATAATTACAATTAAGTGAAACAACCATAATAATTATTTATTCAATTCAAAAAGACATTGTTCTGTAATTTGTTTTAGTTGGGTATAGCAATCAGCTCTTTATTCAAAGGCTGAACCTCTTTAGGCTCCCATTGTTTTTATTAATGTAAAAGAGTAGCAATACTGGAGAGCACGTAGATGTGAATTTGAGAACTTGTACAATAAATATCTTGTACAATAAATATAGTGAGTCCTTATACTACAGAAAAGTAGATGAGCACAGAATGCGTTTTCAGAAAGTTTCCCGTCCACACTGAAATGCCGGAAAAGGCACGTACACACTACAACATGAAAACTGCGTATTCATATCCACTTTCTCTCAGAGAGAAAGAGAGAAAAATATGCGTTTTCAAAAGAAAACCTATTAGTGTGGACAAGGCCTGAGAGAGACAGAGGATGATACAAATTGGCCCTATTGTGATTGAACAATCATGTCAGATATAGCACTGCTTCTGACCCAGCATGGCTGACTGGCAGAACTGAACCCCTCAGGAAGGACTCAGTGGCGCTATCACAGGATGCCCTTTTATCAGATCTCCTACACGGTCTACGAGACACTGGCCTGTACGTTTTTCTTAACATACTAGTCTGTGTTGTGGGAGAAATAAATGTGTGTGAGTGAGACATCATGGTAGGGAGTCAGGATTGAGTCTGTATGCTCTGAGGCAAAGGGTGAAAGCCCAGCAGGAAGTCTAGCAAAGCTAGAGGCAATCACTTTAGACGTCTGAGCATAAGCATGGAACATTCTGAAAATCACCCTCAAAGAGGAAAATCATGTCAACATGAATGAAAACAACCACCAAAAGATTTTAAGTTTTTATCCCCTTAACAACATGAAAGTGCTAGCTGGAGTAAACACACCACATTTGTGTAAACCGTCAAAAGTGCATACTGAAGGTCCTGGTCTGATGGGGCCAACATGACACCATCAGCTGCAAAAAGCAGAGACAAAATCGTGTGGTCCCCAAACCGGACACCCTCCGGCCCCTGGCTGCGCCTAGAAATTCTATCCATAAAAATTCTATCTCAGAACACCCTCCACAGGACACCGCGAGGGACACAGTCGAATGACTTCTCCAAATCCACAAAGCACATGTGGATTGGTTGGGTAAACTCCCATGAACCCTCCACCAACTTGGGGAGGGTATAGAGCTGGTCCAGTGTTCCACGACTGGGACAAAAACGGCACTGTTCCTCCTCTTCAGTACCCTGGCATAGACTTTTTTGGGGAGGCTGAGAATTATAGTATTAAACTTTATATATATATACAGTCTTTGAAGGCTCTCTCCGTCAGGCACATGGCGTGCAGCAGGTCCATTTTATTCTGGAGGGAATGGACATTCGCCAATATGATGAAGGGGAAGGGGGAAGGTCTGAAGGGACTCTTCCGAAGTCTGGTTCGCACTCTGTATTGTCTGCCTCTTCGCCTCAGTTTTACCTCTGCCGGTAGTGTAATCACAGGCTTCTGTTTGCACTGGATGGAGGACCTTAGCTGTAAAAGATCCTCACAGCTATAGGTGAGTGTGAGAATTATACAAATATTTATAAATATACAGTACAGTAACTGCGATACCAGGGCCAAGCCCTGAAGCAGCAGCAACAGCAGTGCAGAGCCAGAAGAACAAAAACAAAAATAGGGCGAGACGGCCACCATTCAACCCGAAAGAAGTCATATAACCATTTCAATAACTCTGAAGCTGTTCAGTTAAGCTAAAAAAAACTGCATAGAAGTCTAGAAGAAACAGATGATGTTTATCTTCTAGTTTGAGTTGAGGTTTACTCTCCTCAGGAGAATTCCATAAACACTAGGAAGGGATGCAAACAGAGATGGCACAGGAACGGCTGCTCCCATCCAATTGCACGGCTATTTGCAAATGGTTTTTCTGTCTTCCCTGGAAGAAGTCATCACCAGGGGGGTGACCATATTTTCATGCCTTTCTGATGTGTTGTTTTTCTTAGGCCGTGGTGGCCTACTGCCACTGGCATGGGCCAGCCAAAGGCCACTGCGCTTGTGCTTGACAATCACATTAGATCTCATCACAGTCCCTTGTTGGTTAAAGGGTGTTGGACAGAATTAGAGAGCTCACTAGGGATACAAGTGGAGGCCGTAAGAAATGGAACAATAATGGAGTGTCAAGGATTTGAAGAACACCCCAGCAAACAAATTTAGGTTCTGGGAACGTTTTGGGAACGTTAGTTTTTGGTTCTCAGAACGTTCCTAGAACTTTCCCTTAAGGTTAAGGGAACATTCCCGGAACATTCTCCTTACATTATAAAAATGGAACCTAAAAATAACCTACATAGAATGTTCCTATAACGTCCTTGTTTGGTTCTCAAAAAAATAACCTCATGGGACCATTCGGGAACATTAGGGGAACGTTCTGTGTTTGCTGGGACATCACCCAGGAGGACACAGGGATGCAGGAAAAGGTTCAGGAACTCTGGAAAGCCAACATAACTGCAGTCCTGTGAATGCAAAGAGTTGTTAACTGCTTAGACATATTTATTGTTTAATTTGAATAGTGTAATTGATTTAAAGTGCATCCAATAAATAGAGAGAACATACTGAGTGTGAATTCATTGACTCCCTGCAACACAGACAGTCTGTTGACTGTCAGCAGATGCTAAATGACAGTATTGATAAAATATGACAATATGCTGATTGTTTGCCTCAGGACTCACAGCTCCAAACCACTAATGTTATACTGATATGCACTGCCAGCTACAGATCTTTACCCTTTCTTTTTCAGCAAAAGCGGAAAGGGATGTGATTTTTATGGACAGTACATTGCTCTGATTAAATGCTCTGTGAGAATATGTCAGCAAAATGAGATCCAATCTAGTTAGTGTCATATTCTGATCTGTAGTGTTCATTTATAAATTTAAAAATAGAATTTTAATTGTTCTTCCTAAAATTAATTTTGGAATTTAATTCTAGTTCCTGTCACCTCAAATCAAATATAAGAATTAAACTGTAAATATAAAAGCATTCTTGATTCAATCCTGAATAATATCCCCGTTGTATCTAATGTTTGGGTAAATGTCTCCTCACAGGACTCTGCAGGAGTTGCTGAAGCAGCCAGGAGGGGAGGTGAGTCCTGTGGATGGACCATTGAGCAGCACCAAATCTGTTGGTGCAAATAGCATCTCTGCCAGGATGCTTCGTAGCCGCAGCGGTGAGATCACTTACTCTGTTGTTGTGGAAAAAAAAAACTGCTATAGATTCTGAATTTATGGATGCATCACTTTTGTACATGTCTGCTCGCACAGCTTCCCAACGGGGCTCACTTTTCCCAAGAGTATTGCATGACAACGTACACTGTGAATCACTGGCTTATAGCTGCTAACTTGGTAACACTTTACAATACGGGTGCACTAATAAGCATTAATTCATGCTTAACTAATGCACAGATAATACTGAATTTATGTGTAACTAATGATTATTTAAGCTATTCATTAATGATTACCACATTAGGAACTAATTAAGAGTCTGTAAGGTTAATGTATTAGTTCATACATGAATTGTTATTAATTAAATTTGTCATTTTGGTTTAATTCCATAATAACTATTTTTGTTTAATTAATAGTAAAAGACTAGTTTATAATGGTGTGCCCCAACAAGTAAAGTCATAAGATAATGATACCTTTGCAAATCATTAGCTAATGATTAATTAAAGCAGACAACTGGAAGTTGTAAATTAACACATTAATTTACACTATTAGTTAATAAAATATGTTATTAAGTAATTAATACACAATGACACATTGAATTAATAGCAATTCATGTATTACTTAATCTATTAATCATATAGACTCTTTATTAGTTGCTGAATTAATGATTAGTAATCATTAATTAATGGTTTAGTTCTTCATGAGTTTTACATTAACTCATGATTATCTGTGCATTAGTTAAGCATGAATTAATGCATATTAGTGCAACCGTATTGTAAAGTGTTACCGCTAACTTCTTTCTGTTCTTGTTGATAGCAAAAAACAACAAATATTTGTTTCTCCCCACTTGCGTACCAAAACCCGTCCACAGACCTGAAGAGGTTTTCACCACGCTCAACTAGTTTGTCCTCTCCCTGAAAGAAGATACGGTGAACATACGGTGAAGTGCACCAAAGACACAGACATGTTTAGCGGGATTCGTGTGCTAGTGGTGGTGACGTACAGTATATCAAACGCGTCGAAAGCACACAAAGTCACACAAAGTCTAACACAAAGTCGTATGAAAATTCTACCCGCTAAATTGTAGCATTCTTTACACAAAAAAATTATTTAAAAAATTCACAGACAACATGTTCACATTCATTGCAAAATTCAAATGGGATTAGAAAATAATTATTTTCTCTCATTCACTTGCATTGACGATTTTTCAACCTAGAGATCCAGCGGGGTTAGCGGAAGGGGCGGGACTTATCAGCTCTATAACATAGATTCCTGCCTCGTGATGACAAACCGGGTCGAGAGTGTAACTCATTATAATATGCAAAACTGTTATCCAATCACAGCAGTGGGCGTTTACTTCCAAGTCTTCATTGCGCGACGCCCATAAAAACCGAGCGTTTTTGAGCTGGGCTTAAAACTAGGGTAGAAAATAGCCTATTACAATATTCATTTAGATGTTTTTCAATGTAAAAACCAAGCGAACGTCATAAGTCGACCTCAGACAACAATGTAAAAAATTAAAAAGCCAGTTCATGACCCCTTTAAGTATTTTCAGAGTCAACTGAAGAGTTCAAGCCACCCCAGTCCAAAATATGCTTCAGCGATAAAAGAAACAACAAATTAAAAAAAAAATTCAATTGTAGATAAATAAGTGCATGTGTTTTCTCATATACAATCAATGGCTGGTAACCAAATGGTTGAAGGTTTGAATCTTGCAATGTCTTGCAAACAAATCTTTGAGCTATCACAATTATGCACTCAGTTTGAGCAAATCACATCTTATAAGGATAGTAAACCCCAAAATAAAAATTCTGACATGTACAAGTACCCCGATGTTGTTCCAAACCTGAATGACTTTCCTTCTTCCATGGACTGCATTGGACCCCACTGACTTTCAAAAGCTCAAACAAAATAACTAAAAAATAAAAATAATATATAAAAATATATTTACATATATTTTGTTTATACACAATATTTTTAATGGGTGATGAAAATTCAGCTTTGCCATTAAAATTAATAACTTGCATTATATTGTTATTTATATATGAGAGAGAGAGAAAGAGAGAGAAAATCTGAATATCAAAGAGAGAAAAATGTGTCTATATATTTTTTAATATGTATACTTTAATATATTATACAGTAAAAAACAACTGCAATACAATGATTTATTCACAATTTCATTCATTAATCTTCAAATACTTCAATCAGAATTATTTTGTAGTGGGCATAAAATACTTTTATTGAGATTCACCCTCACCCTCATAACAGTTAAGGTTCCCGGGTGTGCATCTTGCACTTGTAAGATTCAGATAAAGTGCCTCTCTCTCTCTCTCTCTCTCTGGTTATCCTTGGTCTTCTACCCCATAATTTCCATTTCTACTCAAGAGCCAGAGAAAAATAAATCTATAACCTAACCTCCTTTTCCCATCCTTAAACACAAGCGAGGTCGTCTCATCTGCGATTGCACTGGGTGGATTTACACTGGGCGTGAGACAGCTGGCTTCAAACCGACAGTTGATGTAGGGTTTATGCTGATATCCAGTGTGTGTACCAGGCTTAACCGGCACACTTTCCTCTGCTCTTTATGAAAGGGATTTAAGTTTCGCTCCACAGTGCTTAGAGGTTTAGTGATGTGACTGTACATATCTCACTACGTACTTTCTGTGTCCTCAGTAATAGTGTGAAGATTATAGTGCTTGTGCTGTTTTTGGTCTTGATCTAGGAAGGTGACATTTAATGTCACGGTTCAAAAGTCACGTCTTCACATTGGCTTTTAATTCGACTAAATTGGGAATATAACACGGCCACGGTGCCTGGAAGAATAAGTGTGATAAACACTAGATGGTTCAAGGGCTTGAGGCGAGGCTGTGTAATCACAAGATGGCTGGAAAGAGATGTTGGATATTGTGGCACCAATAGCAGTATCAGCTGAAGGTGAAAGTCAACATAAAAGCAAAATCAACCTTATTTACTTACCTGAAGCTGAAATTCATGGCCCTATTGAGAACAATTCAACAGAGGATGAATTAAAAATAGAAGAAGTAAAACCTATAACATCTATAAGATGATATTTTTCATCCCATTGATTTCCATAGTAGGAAAAAAAACTGTTTGGTTACCGACTTTCTTCAAAATATCTTATTTGTGTTCAGCAGAAGAAAGAAATTAATACAGGTTTGGAACAATGTGAGGGTGAGTATTTCATGCAGGTCAGAGACGGGTCTTTCAAGCAGAATTTTCATTTTTGGGAGAACCCAAGAGTGTATCATATGCTTTCAATGTTTCCCCTCACATTTTTTTCTCTTCATTCTCCATCTTAGATGCCAAAAGAAACAAATATTGTATTTTATGACCGGGGACATAAAGCCCCCCCTGCAAAAAAAGGTGGAGTTATGAGCTAATGCTCAGGCTCCTGGAGTCTTTATCCGGAGGGTGAGCGGGACTCCAGGGCGGAGCCTACAGTTCAGGCAATCAGGGCGGAGTCTGCCGTGCGGGAGGAAGGGCGGCCTTCTTGGTCTTTCCGCTAGAGCCTGGCTTCACTTACCCATTCTTGGGTGGAGTTATAGGCTTACGCTCAGGAACAGGTCTTGGGACAGGAATAGGCTCTGACATGGCAGCAGCCATCCTGGATGAGGGCTCGGGTGGCGGTCGTCTTTACCGAGGGATTGGGCGGTGAAGTAGGGGCCATCTTTGTCGAGGGCACAGGCGGCGGCCATGATGGGTGCTTCTCAATATCCCTCCTCGCCTCTCCTCTCCATCCAATGACCAGGAAACCGTGAATCTCCGGAAGGTTGGTCTCGATGGGACGAAGCCCTGGAAGGGTGGTCTTGACAGGACAAGACCCTGGAAGGGGGTCTCGACGGGATGAGACTCAGGAAGGCATTCAGGAGAGGACTGTGTAAATGATGGGAGAGGATGTGGAGTTCTGGAAGCGGATCGACTGAGTAAGAGTGCATACAAGACGTATTGCTCTAACGTGCAGCCATGCACATTCCACGGCATTCGAGGGGTTCGTCCAAACTGAAATGAGCAAATCATCCACCATGTAGACTGTTGAAGCCAGCTCCAGGAAATCCTCCACATATTTCTCAACTGGACGGCCATCTTGGGTATAACAAGTCTATCGGGCGGAGGAATAGGCTCCTACTGCAGTCAGTTAGAGTCTGTCTAGGTTTGGTCTTCTGTTACGGACCAGGGACTCACAACACGGATGGTAATGAAGAGAAACAGGTTAATTGTAGGTAAGAGGAAGTATGAATTTTGGATAACTGAAAAAGTCACGGACGAATGAAGAATAGGAATACTAATAGTCTTATGGTGTAGCAGATGGTTATGGATGTCATGGATGACAGGATATATGGCAACGGGAGCACACACCGGTTCAGGCAGAGTGGTGAGTCATTGGAGCACAAGGAGGGAGACGATGGGGACTAGAAAGACGATGAAGTCTAGGAGAAACATGGGTTGAAGACAGAGGCACGTAACCACACCTGTCGAAGGTAAGTGTAAACGGGTAAGTGGGTCCTAGTGTGTGCTTATATGCTGCCTGTGATTACTAGGAGATGATGTGCAGGTGCAGGTGACAGTGATCTCTGTGATTTGGAAGTAAATGCAGTTGAGGGCCAGGGAGGATAATAGGAAATGTAATGACTAACTGGTGACTAGCTTGAGGTTTAATCTAGCATGAAGTCTAAACCTCAAGCCTATCTACATTGAGCAGAGGTTAAGCATCAGAAAGAGTGTTTATATGAGCACATGTGCAATGGCATGACATCATACAACACAAAGACGAATGGTCCAATTTTAGACTTCCCCTTATGCAGTCCGCTCTTTAATTCTCTGCCTCTGGCATTTCAGGCTTTGTTTTTATATGCCACCACACACACACTCACACGCACACTCACAAGGAGACATACCTCACACTAAAGCATCAAAGACGTCTACATTGCTTCAGGGCTAAGAACATACACAACAGGCCTTCAGTGGGAAATGGTGGCACTCCAGT